CATCATCATCAAACTTCTGAGAACTAAAGTCAAAGAAAAGTCTTGAAAGCAGCAAGAGAGAAATGACACGTTGCGTGTAAGAGAAAAACAATTTGAATGGCAGTGGATATCTCTTCAGATTCCATGAGGCCATAAGAGAGTGGCAAAACCTGTTTCAAGTGCTGAAAGGAAAGAACCATTAACCAGAATCCTATATCCAGCAAACATATCCTTCAGGAATGAAGGGGGAAATCAAGACATTCTCAAATGAAGGAAAATAAAGAGAATTTTTTTCCAGCAGACCTATCCTCAAAAAATGGCTAAAGTAAGTTCTCTAAACAGAAAGAAAATGATAAATTGATCCTTGGAATACCAGGAAGGAAAAAAAGAACATGGTGAGCAAAAATACATGGAAATAAAATAGGTTTTCCTCTCGAGTTTTCTAAATTATATCTGATGGTCAAAGCAAAAATTATAACACAGTCTGATCTGTTTCTCAAAGTACATAGAGGAAATATTTGACAAATGTAGTATAAATGGGGGAGAGTGAAGGGACAGACATAAGGAGATGTTAGGTTTCTATAGTTCACTAGAACTGGTAAAGTGACATCAGTGAACATGATATATGTGTACATATATGTATGTATATGTAATATACATGCAATATATGCTCTCTGTATATATTTGCAATACTAGAGCAACCACTAAAAGTCTATACAAAGAAATACACTCAAACACAGTACAGATAAATAAAAATGTATAGAATTATAAAAAGATCCTGTTCCAGTAACCCACAGGAAGGCAAGAACAATAAAACAGAAAAAGGAAAAAGAGAAATAACAGAAAGCAAATAAAATGGTGGACTTAAGCTCTAACTTAACAATCGTTACAGTAAATGTTCTAAGTATACCAATTAAAAGACAGAGGTTGGCAGAATTAATTTTTAAAAAATGAACCAACTATATGTTGCCTACAAGAAACTCCAAATATGATGATAGTCTATATGGAAAATCCCAAGGAAGCTACAAAAACAAACAACAACAAACACCCTCCTACTAAGTGAGTTCAGCAAGGTCAGAGGATACAAGATGAACCTACAAAAATCAGTTGTCTTTCCACGCACTGGAAGTGAATACATGGAAACCGAGATTAAAGATACATGACATTTACAATTATTTGAAAAAAGAAAGATGTAAATGTGACAAAAGATGTATAGAACGTGTATACTAAAAGCTATAGGACACTGAGGGACTCAAAGGAGGCCTAAGTGAATGGAGTGACAGAGCAAGAAGAATCCACATAGTAAAAATATGTCACCAGCAAATTGATGTACGTTTAACACAATTCCTATCGAAATCCTACCAAGACTTTTTATAGATACAGACAAGATTATTCTAAAATTTATATTGAAAGGTGAAGGAACTAGAATAGCTAAAAATGTATAAAATAAGCATAAAGTGGGAGGAACCAGTTGATCCAATTTTAAGATTTATTAGATTTGCTACAATACTGAAGGCAGTGAGGCACTGATGAAGAAATAGACACATAGATCAAAACAGAATAGAGAATCCAGAAACAGATCTAACAAGTTGGGCAGAGTGATTTTTGACAAAGTTGCGAAACAGTTCAGTGGGGGGCAGGGGAAGCCTTTTCGGCAAACTGGAGCAATGGGACATCAACAGACAAAAGACACAAAAACCAAAACTGATTTAAGTCTCACACCTTATACAACAGTTAACTTAGACTAGATCAGAGGCTGAAATGTAAAATATAAAGAGAAAAACATAGGAGAAAATCTTCAGATGTAGTACTAGGTAAAGAGTCCTTAGACTTGACACCAAAAGCAAACTGCGTAAGGTGAAAAATTGATAAATTGTATCATAAAAATTAAAAACTTCTGTTTTGCAAAAGACCACATTAACAAGATGAAAAGATAAGCTACAAATGGGAAAAAAATATTTGCAAATCATATCCAACAAATGATTAATATCTAAAATATAGAACTCTCAGGACTCAACAGTAAAAACTGAAACAAATAGAAACTAAAAAAAAAAAAACCAATTAGAAAATGGTCAAAAGCCATGAAGAGGCATCCAGTAAATTAGATATACAGATGGCAAATAAGTACATAAGTGATTCTCAACAGGAGCCATTAGACAAATGAAAATTAAAGTCACAGTGAGATACCACTACATATCTAACAGAATGGCAAAACAAAAACAAAGAAACAGTGAACGGTAAATGCGGACAAGGATGATGAGAAACTGGATCTCTCATACATTTCTGGTGGGAATGTGAAATGGGACAACCACTCTGAAATACGTTTTGGCAATCTCTTAAAAAACTAAGCATGCAGTTTCCATAGGGCCCAGCAATTGTACTCCAGGGCTTTTATCCCAGAGACTTGCAAAACCTGCAGATGAATGTTGACAGAAGTTTTATTCGTAGTAGCCAGACACTGAAAACAATCCAGACGTCCTTCACCTGGTGAACTGTTAAACCATGTGGTACGTCCATACCATGGGATACTACATGACAGCCTGGAAATGCTGAAAGAAAAAAAGCGAATCCTAAAAGGCTACACACTGTGCAATTCAATTTATAAAACTTCTTAAATTATAAAAGTTTAGAGATGGAGGACATCTTAGTGGTTACCAGGGGGTGTGGGGAGAGAGGGGATGGGAGAGCAGAGGGTGTGACTAAAAGAGGGCAACGTGAGGGATCTTTGTGGGGTTGGAAGGTTATGTCAACATCCATATCCCAGTTGTGACATGGCCCTGTAGTTTTGCAAGATGTTATCTCTGGATTAAAGGGTACACAGCATCTCTCTGTATTATTTCTGAATTGAATCTACATTTATATAATTGAATAATCGAGCCTACAATTTTCTCAAAATAAAAAGTTTAATTGAAAAAAAGGCCAGATACGGAACAGCACAGTCCCACTCTCTTAACTCCCAGTGTGGGTGCTGACCAACCCCCGTGCTCTCGTTTACGTTGGTAACCAAACTAGGAGAGACTCTTCAAGCTCTTAACCACCACTTCCACTGGGGTTCTGCTGAAAACTGTCCCCCAAACTTTCACAGTGTGTATTCAAAATCATGAGATGCTGGAGCTGGGAAAATGTGAAATAACTGCATACAGGGGACTTGGTGGGCTTTGGGTCCCCCACAATGTCCATTGGACCCCAGTGGCCACTCCTTGAATAAATTCTAATCCAGGGGCTTGCAGTGTGACAGCCTCCGCCTCCGGGCTCTCTGCTCTGAGATGGCTGCTCCAGACTTGGCGTGCCTGGGTCCTGTCACTTAGCCACCCCTCTCCGCAGCGCTTACACCCAAGCGGCTTCTCAACGGCTTCTCTCGTTGTATTTCTTAATTTGGAGCACAGGCCTTAAGCAGCCTGGGTCTCCCCCCTCAAGACGTGTGACCCTGAGATGGGAGTTTCTGGAGGACAGTGGTTCTTTTCAACACTGCTGTGGTGTAAAGTTGTTTGTGAAAGAAGGAAGGACGCAAAGGCCTTCCGAGGTCAGTGTGAGCAGGGGCACCTGTTACTTAGGGACAGAGATATTGTCAGTCGTGGGTTGCAGGTGAGGAGACGAAGCCTCACAGGCTAATTGGAGGTGCTAATGCTGAGCCCAGGTGGTCTAGACTGTGATCCAGTGCTGTCCCTGTGCCCCAGCTACACTGTCAGCTGCACTGGAAGCTGTTCAGAATTCCCTGTTCCCAGGGGTTTTGTTAGGAGCCCAGGGAGGGTTTCTGGGGCAAGGCCTGCACTTGTCTGGCTCTACCCTACCTCTTGGGGCTTGTGCACATCCTCCCCCAAACCCCCAGCTTTGTGTGTGTGTGTCTGTGTGGTGTGTGTGTGTGATGTGTGTGTGTCTCTGTCTGCATGGGGTGTCTGTGTCTGAGTGCCTCTCTGTTCCTTTTTATGTGTTACGTGGGTTTGTGTGTCTCTGTGGATCGCGTGTGTCTGTCTTTGTGTATTGAGTGTGTGTCCGTGCGGTTTGTTGTTTGCATGCGTGGTGCCCACGTGTGTGTATCTGTGGGGAGGTCTGTGTGCATGTGTGTCCCTGCATGTGTCTCTGTGCGGGTGGGTGTGCGCGCGTGGTGTGTGCGCGCGTGGGTGTGGCGTGTCCTGCCGCTCGGAGGCTCCCGAGAGCCGTCCCCGTTCGGGGAGTGACAGTCCCCGGCGCGGCCACCCCGGGGCGCGGCCGGCGGGGAGGAGCGCGTGGCGGGTCCGCCGGCCGCACACGTGGGCCCGGCGCCGCCTCTCGCGTTCCCACCCCCTCCGGCCGCCCCCGCCGAGAGCCGGCATAAGTGGCGGCGCGGACGCCGCGCCCTGTCTCTGCGGAGCCGGCGGCGCGCAGCTCTCCGGCCCTGGCCCGCCACAGACGAGGACCGCGCTCGGGGACGCGACAGCGGCGCTCGTGGCCCCGGTAACTGCCTCCCGTACCCGCCCCCGGCTGCCGCGCCGTCCCCAGGTGGGGCAGCCCCGGGTCCCCGCATTCCCGCGTCCCCGCCTCCGGGCTCGGCGTGGGCTCCCGCGCCCCTGCGCGCGTGTGCGCGCGTGTCTGTGTGTGCATTGGTGCGCGCGCGCCCCGCTCCCCAGCAGCATCCCCGAACCAACTTGGACCCGTCAACTCCGTGTCCCCGTGCCCTGCCGTCTGCGAGCAGAGCAGCTGGCAGCACCTCCAGAGACAGCGCGGGGCTGTGCTGCCTGCGCTGGTGGAGACGGGAGGGGAACAAAGTTTGTCGGGAGCCCGGGTGACTTTCCTCGGGGACCCGCATGTGTGCGTGGGCGGGGGGCCTGGGAGCGCGAGGCTGCTTCCCTGGCTTCCCGGGCAGTGGGCGCCGGGCTCCCGGCCCCCCTTCACGCCGCCTCAGTGGTTTGTTTAGGAAAAGTGATGGTGGACTAGTAGTGGAGGCTCGCAGGCGCCCGCTGCCCGCCCCGCGGAGGGAGGGCGGCCCCGGAGGGCTGAGAGGGCGCCGCACCCTTCGAGCCCAGGCGGCATATGTGAGCCAGGGCTCGAGGTGGGAAGCAGGGGCGTGGGGCGCCCTGCCGGCCGCCTTGTGACCGCCGAGATGCGGGAACAGCCCGTGTTTGCCTGGCTCTAACTGTCAAGGCTGTGTGGCTGTGGACCGCAAAAGCCAGGACGTGATGGAAACAGGTTTGTCATGGCATCCTTGGAATTTCAGGCAGGGGGAATTAATCGGAATATCATCCACCTCATTATCGCGCCCCTTTGAAACTTCCTTGGGCATTTTAAGATCGACTGGGTCTTCTGCAGCTGGGTCTTTATACCCATAGAGCTGACTGTAATTTCCACTTGATTACAGCTAAAGTAGTCTTTAAGATGAAGTTTCCTGAAATGATTTAAAATAAACACAGATGGGAAGGGGAGAAAGCTGTAATGAGGCACTTAAAAAATAAAGTGAGCGTTTTTCTTAAGAACAAACGGGAGTTCTCAGTCTTAAGGAGTATATATGTATTTTTAAAATCTTTGAAGTGGAGGTTTTTTGTTTTTAACCTGCTTTAAAACCTTGCTCCTGACTCTGAACAAGGTTTGCCTCCTGGTCTCTGTGTTTTGCCGTATCCCCGACTTTGCACCGTTCCCTTCTTCCTTCCCAGGCCCTGGGGATCCTTCCAGAAATGCCGGAGGAAAGTTCCCCCAGGCGGACCCCACAGAGCGTTCCGTACCAGGACCTCCCTCACCTGGTCAACGCCGACGGACAGTACCTCTTCTGCCGGTACTGGAAACCCTCGGGCACACCCAGGTAAGTCTCCCCCAGGTGCCGCCCGGCTGTGCCCTGGGGGGGTTCATGTCCCCTCTCCCCCTTTGTGTGCAGCTCCTGTGCGGCCACTTTCTCCATGACCAACTTCACGTGCCACTTTAACATCAGGCACAGTGGGCTAACAGAACTGAGATTTATATGTCATCTTTTTTTAAAATTAAGAAGCAGACGTTCTATTTTCATTATAACAACTAGGATACGGATTCTACCGTATGGCAGTTTTCAAAAATTCCACATGACTTTATTTTTTGTACTGGAGTTGATTTCCTGTTGTACAGGCATTCCTTTAAAATCTAACCCAACAGTTACAGAAAACCACCTAATCAGATAAGAGAATCAAAATAATGGATATATAGTAACTTTTGTTCTCTTTTCCTGTTTGAGTCTGAGCTTCAGAAGGTGTCATACCTGTGTAACGGAAAGAAAGGGGTCTGGGTGTTTCCTTCTGATTTCTTGCCAGCTCAGTTACTTTGTACGTTTTCCATCAAGGATTTGTCTTGCTATTAGAAACAGGCGTTGGGACTGCACACAGTAAGACAGCTGGTCTCCTGCTTCCCTCCTCTTGTACGAAATAGGGAAAACCCTGCTTGTTTGTGTTGTTCAGGGAAAGAAATTACTTGCGGTAACCAATTGGCCTAGTGAAAAGTGAACATCTTCTGTGCCATGGACATGTTACCTGTTTCACAGGCCTGTTGTCTCCTAGGGGACATGTATGGTGTGGTGTGGCTTATAGGATTATGTCTCCCTTTGTGTTTCAGTCATCACCCAACCCTAGTACAGATACAAAATTCCTCCTACGTTTTCAACAAGGTGTGTATAATCCAGGTAGCTGCACATTAAAAAAACAAAAACAAAAGCAGAGATATGGACTTTAAAGACCGTGTATAAAATCATAGCTTCAGGGCAGCTATATAAATCGGCTATTGTAATGGGCAGTTAAGAGTTTCTACAGGGCTTCCCTGGTGGCACAGTGGTTGAGAGTCTGCCTGCCATGCAGGGGATGCGGGTCCGGTCCAGGGTCCAGGAAGATCCCACATGCCGCGGAGCGGCTGGGCCCGTGAGCCACGGCCGCTGAGCCTGCGCGTCCGGAGCCTGTGGTCCGCGACGGGAGGGGCCACAACAGTGAGAGGCCCGCGTACCGCAAAAAAA